AGTGAAGCAAAAAGGAAAACAATTCGTTGGTAAATTCAATACTTAGGGCTTTCCTTCTTCGTATTCGGATTGTACTAAGATGAAGATACCGAGCGCGATGAATAGAAATAGAGAGCAGGCCCGACGAGGGAGCGCATACAGGGGAGGGGGGGGGGAAGTTACTTTGCCCATGGCACACATCAAACTTTTTGTCGCACAGGATGCCGTTGTTGATGAAAGTTTTACGGCAGAAATATTCCTTAGATGTCCCCCATAAGCAGAAGCAGGCCCTCCTTCACTGCCCTCACCGTCTTCAGAATATGACGTCATCTGCCATCACCGTCGAGCTCAAGGAGGCCTACCGTAATCGCTCCAGCCTGAAGCTGCTACATAATTTCTTCAATCGTTAACTGGTGAATAGCTTCCTAGAGACACTAGCTGTGACTGTGCAAGACCGCTTTTGACCAGCGTTTCAGGGACGTCGTAATGGTCTATGGTACCTCGACGACCTCGTTGAGCTCGTACCGTGAACCATGTTTCCGTGGGAAAATCTTCTGATGTCGTCGGTGTAGAAGGCTGTTATGTAACTTAGATAGATTAGAATGTGCTCTTCAATACGCAGTTGGGTGCACTCGATTTGAATCAAGCAAAGTGTAAATATTAACTTTTAAATGTGGGGGTAGGGGGAGAGAGACTCTTTCTTGCCTCCCCCCGTACACCCAGCGCGTTATGGATGAGATACGGTGGAAGCCGCGGAAGCCCTCGGTCATAGCGCCGTTGTCACATTCATGCATAGAGAACAAATTCATCATCCCTAAACTTTTTAGCTAACACTGCCTCTTGTTCTGGGTACAAAGGGTAGAATAGGATCAATGACAAGCTCAAATTACCTGTAGACGGGCAACAAGTCTGTGAAGACCCGATCAGTACGCACTCGTGATCATGACCACATTTGGAAGCTGACGAAAGGCAGCCGGCTTTTGGTTGCTCGTCAAAAATGGCTGTTGATGATCTCGTAAATTCGACGGCTCCACGTTTGCACGCTGGAATATGAATGCGTGATTGATAGCCGATAATGACGAGAATAAAGAGTAAGGACTCTACAAATCTTGTGCATACTGTTAGTGAAAAACAAGGCTTTGTCTATCGAAGGTGTATACCCATGTGCGACAATGAAGATGTCTCTTGAAAGATCTGTTTATTGGCATTCGATGCATTTTTTTCCAAAGTTCCGCGTGTATTACATATTTAGCTTTGAACCAACCAGTTTATAGAGCTTGGTGTTTCAAGTTTTTAGCATTTTATTTGATCACTTGTTTTATTTCACAAGAATGCTGGGTTGTGAACAAAACTTCGCGCCCAGACGGATTCGAACCCGCACCCTCGTTTTCCGGACAAGTGCGCTACCAGTTACGCTACCGGGGCACCATTTCATTCCAACTCAGCTCTTCGCTTGTCAGCAGTCACACGTATAATGTGCTGAGTCGGTTAGCCGATATCAGTAATGACCGCGAGGTTGGAAATTTTAACAATGAATTTTGTGCAATGCAACTTTTTCGCAAATAATTTAACAACAATCTTAGTTTATGTTATCCGATCAGAAGTGGGAGCGTTAAAGGGCAGTGGTAACAATGGCTGGAGGTCGGTGCGTATTTATGCCGTTGCACTAAACGCTCTTGGTGGATTTTGATTAATACACTCGTGATTGAGCAGTTAGCTGCGCACGCTTTTACAGCTATTCACATTGACGTTCAATGACCTCATGAAAATCGCACCACCGTCCAGGCATAGTGATCACTGCCTTCAAGGTGACCGATCGAAGTTGGATAAGAGGTATAGTTTTATTGAAAGGCTTTTACTTATTTATGTTCTTTGTTCCCTATTTTAGATTTATTTTTTTGTGCATAGCTAGAAAAAACACAGATAAAGTGCAAGTTTGAAAGTGAAATGAATAAAAACAGCGGTAACACTAGCCAAAAAGGAAATTCGCTGTTGCACTGGAGGGCAGAAGATCATCTCACTCATTAGCCTGATCAGGTATCGACTGTGGTTCGTAATGGTAAAGCAGCAGTTGAGTTTAATTTGGGGATTGCCTGCTTTAAACACTAGATCGAAATTTTTTCAGCATGTTTAGGGGTAATAAGGCACCTGGTTCACGTTGAGAAAACGAATTTGAATTCGGAACCGTGTTTAGATATGGACGAATAAACATGAGGCTCCTCATACTGTGCCCTACACTTGGCTCTTCAAATTTTACAGCTATCAAGATTGATGGTAGTCTTGAGGAGCGCAACACAGTTTTCGTGGAAATGTAAAAAAAATGTGCAATCCAGAAAGATCATCCCTAGTATACGAGCCCTTCAACTTCCACTACCACGATTCCGTTGGAACATCTCTAGTACGAACCCTCACTTTGGGAAATTCCGAATCACGGCTGACTTTTTTGAGACCAGGATCATTAATGTGCAGGGCAATCACAACGATGGGACCGTGTTACGCGATTTGCTGGAGCAGGGTCAACCCTATCGTTGTTACTCTTTGGAAATTTTTTACGACCCCCCCCTTCATGGGTGATTTGATACGACCCCCCTTGTATGTGACACTTGTGTAGAGACAGTGTTTACCATCAATATTTATTTCTACGTAAGTCATCAAAGATGAAACTTTAGCAAAATCCACGACAGATATTCATCGCTGCTTCCAAACACGAAAAAATGAGATGCATTCAAAGATATCCGTGTACTCCAAAGGGTTACCAAACTAGGAGATGAAATAAACTGAACCAGTGACCGGAATATTGACAATATTACCTGATAAAAACTTATGAGAAGTCAGAAAAAATTATCGCTCCAATTGAAATACTGAAATCCTTCACGTTCTTCAATTGCAACACAATTTTTACACCCCTCTTTCTAAGGCTATAACTTCCTTCATATTCGAGCTTCTGCGCCGAAGTGATTTGATTTGGAAAATTCAAATTATTCTCTCTCCAACCATGGGTAAAAATTCTTCGAAAGTTAATTTAATAAAAATTTAGTACGTTGTTACTTTTTTCTGTGCAAAGCGACTTTTTGACCTTCAAATGATCATAACTTCTTTCAAAGTCACTCATTTGGGAAGCTGAACACGTATAATAAACTACAGGATTCAAGCTTTCTAAGGAGCACCCAAGCGTTCCTGAAAGATCAGTAGTTCAAAAATTAGTCCCGTTGTTACTTTTTTGGGGGTTTGCGTTACTATTTTTTTGGAACCGCGACTTTTTGACCTTCAAACGATCATAACTTCCTTCAAAGTCATTCATTTGGGAAGCTGAACACGGTATAATAAACCTACAGGTTTCAAGCTTTCTAACGAGCACCCAAGCGTTTCTGAAAGATCAGCAGTTCAAAAATTAGCCCGTTGTTACTTTTTATTTTGAGGGGTATTCTTCAAGCCATTTTCTCGAAAACGCGAGTTTTCTTAGGTTTCACTGCCCGTAACTTCTTGGAAGACCAATTTTATGTGTTAAATTAGGATGTGCTAGAAAGCTCCGAGCATGCGCTTGCACTACATCCCTTGCCTTGGTGCGCGCCACGCCTCGGGCGCCCTTCTAATTCGCTGATTCATTCGAAAGCTCATTTAGAGGGAAGCGTTGTTTATAGATGCTCTAGTATCAGTCATCTTACGAAAACGTAACGTGCTGGCTATTATCCGATATTACCAAGAATCCCACTGTCGGCCACCGAGAGGGTACGACCCCCCTCCAAGCTCAACTGAGTACGACCCCCCGTTGTTACTCGTAACAACGTAGGGTTGACCCTGGGAAGGGCCGGTGTCGATTGCGAAACCACGCATTGGCTAGCGAATCACAGGATTCGCAAAGTCTGACACCGACGGAATTGAGTTTAGGGGTGATACATACTTCTCTTTTGTGAAATGAAAGTTGAAGTGAAGGAAACAATCGGGAGACCGAATGGATAGGTGAAAGGGTGGGTAAAATTCGCCCAAGCGCATTTTTTAACCTTCTTTATGGCCATCCATAGGTTCACTGATATTTCATGATGACTAGTAGTGACAGTGTGACCACGATGGCGAAGACAGCTGAGGATGCAAAAATGCAGCATTGTAAGAGTCGATGTCTGTTAGCTTCTTGAGCGTGTCAAACAGAGCAGGTACACCAGGGAAAATCCTCAGTCACTGAAGACCGCATGAGGAATCAAGTAAGATGATCAGCAATCAACTCACTATCTCTGCAATAGCTTTCGCAATGTTCCACGGTTCGAAAGTTGTTTGGCGATGCTCCTGCGATGGTCTCTGGATCCCAAGTGAACTGAACACAAGTACCCGTAGCTGAGTTGAACCACCACCTTGGAACAGACGGCTCATCACCAGACTCCATAGGTTGAATGCACACGAACGCTGCAATATTGGATTATTGAAACATGTTATTCACAGTACCGCATTGTTTCGTATAATGTGGGAGTGAACTAGGGACTCGTGACATTTCAGAAGTATGAAAGTCGGTTTCCGAATTGATTTCAGTGCGGCGATTTAAATTATGTTTATACGCAGTTTTGACGTTGGAGAACAATGAATCAGGAAAAACCACAAAAACTGCTTCTTTAAGGATTCTGAACCTCTCCAGCTTCGATGACTTTCGGATTAACGTTGCACTTGCCGACTTAGGTCGACTAGGGGTGTACACTTAGGAGGTCACAGAAGCTTTTTCAGTTAAGAATTGTCATCATGCGGTTAATAGTTTTACGGGATTAAAAGGGTCTGTGAAACGGACTTTCCCAGCTAAGGAACAAAGTAAAGAAATCTCAATAAAGGTGCAAAAACAATGCACCGCCCTCTTGGATCGCCGAAATAACCACTAGAAAGGCAGAGGCAGATATTTTGCAGAGCACTGTACTCTGAGGCGAGAGAGCAGAAATCGGGGACGAGAGATCATAGGAAGCAGGCAGAGTGCGATATTCTACAGCTTTTGGCGTAGTTGCCGAAGGAGCTTTACGACGATCGGTGAGCCAGACAGTTCAGCTGCAAGGCTCATTCGCCCTTTTGCGAGTTTGGTGATACCGAAGGCATAGGCTCTGAACTTGCGAACCTCAGTGCCTCATTCATACGACAGATTACTCTAACGAGCCAGATACGAGCCTTTAGGTGTTTACAGTAATTTTAATCGGAAACGTTTTCATGTTTATGAATCATGCTTAACACCACGGGTTCAACACGGGATCCTTCGAAGAGCTGCACCCCAAATGGCTTAGCGCTTCTGTTGTGTATAACAAGCTTTTGAAGGGTACATACCCTCCCAAGTGGTAAGATGTTATCTACGAAAATTACAAGGAAGCATGAGTGTGAAATCAGACTTCTCTCGGACCTCTATTTTGGCAACAGATCCCATCCACGGTATCGTGATACTCCGGAAACAGTTCACTCGACACCTGAAATACTCATCCAGACTACTTGGAAAATTTGAAAACGAAAACTGCGGAAAGTTTCAAGATAGGTAATAAACCTGAGGATGTGAAATGCAGTCATAAATATCAGCGATGTACACGTCGTGATCACCATCTGGATAAACGCACCATGTAGATCCGTCGCCTCCATTTGACCTCTGAGTCTCAGTTGAGGTTGATGTGCAAAGTACAGGCCTAAGCATCGTGGTGATAAGAAATAGGCAGACTTATATCCAGAAAACTTGGCTCACATGTAACCGCCAGGATTAAGTGGATGAGTAGATGGATTGGCCAGCACAGTAGCCGGATTTGGCAAACCGTTGTGAGGTTCAGGAAGAGGACAGGACGGTGGAAGCAGTGATGAGATGCAAACCGTTCCGTCTCTATGACATATAGCGTGCTTTCCTTCACCTTACTATGACATTATGTGAAAGGACCTAGCTTTCTTGAGAGCGAATCTCACTTGACACAACCAACCTTGTGCGACTCGGAACTGTGGCTGGTGGGCATTCACAAACTCCAGAAACGGAACAGACGGTATCTGGCCATACAGCTTCACACTGTTTCCTGTCTACACATCCGGCTTCCCCTGGATTGATCTCTGAATAATGAGCATGTTGAGAATTTAAAAGTTCAGGTTATTTATTTATTTATTTATTACTATGCACTCGTAGGTGCGCTACAATAATTAGTCAGAAACCAAATCGTTATAAAATGAGAGTCATCGACTTAAAGTAAACACAATTTGAGCAGTATTTTACCCACAAGCGGAAAGTTCACAGACACATATTATTCGAATTTTCTTTTGAACGTATTTTTTTTATTTTTATTATTATTTTTACTTATTTGTTTCATTAATTTTATTATTTTTCTTGGTAAAGTGGAGCATAATTTCTGATGGTGAGCTCTTTCGGAACCTACCATTATAGTACGATCAACTTTCAGGGCTCAGGAAATACTTGATTTCGCCACTAGTTGGCTCTTTTTCAAATTATACAGTAAAATTATAAAGGCTTTTTATAACGAACACTGTTCCATGTTGTTGAAATCAAAGTTGTTTCTGGACTTCAACTACTTGTTGATAATATTAGGTACCGGATATCTTAATGTCGTTTTTTCACCAAGAGTTTTGGACCAGCAATATTTCAGTTCAAAACCCGGGGAGCGAATTAGTTTAATCATAAAATGACTTACTAGGATCCCCTCATCTAACAGTTTGAGTGGAAACCTTGCACGATCCAAGCTCGGAATTTTTTGAGTTAAAAAGGAGAGGCAGGTCGGTTTTGACATCCTCTGATAAATCATCCCTGTCATCCCTCTTACTTGCTAAAAAGTAAGGCCTGGACAAAGTAAGTATACAGCTGGTTAGCGTAGGGTCTGCATTGCACGACAGAAAAATTAGAACTTATCAGCCCAAGTGGGCAGTTTTTTACGGAGACTTTTTTGCAACATAGGGTCAAAAACGCACCCCTTTTTGAGCGCGCGTGAGAGGCAGGTGAGCACATTTATCAGAATATCTTGCGGAATCAAATTCATAGGAATGTTTGCGCATCATCATTCCATCACAGTGAAAGTATCCTACCATTTCAGCACAAGTCTGGTGCAGCCCCTTCTCAGCTGGCTTAACTAGGGCCATCTTTTTGAAGACGATTGCAGGCATCCTTTCAAAAACTTCACTGTCTTTTAAGAAAACTGAGGAGAACCGGTGAGCATTCCAAACGGTAGTATTCCTTCCAACAAAAGCAATGTTAGTTTGGTTGGCGGATCTGTAGCTCCCAGCCCGACTTTGATGGCATTTGGTACACACATACGAATTTGCGCAATGAACCCAGGAATTTTCAGAAAAAGGTATAAAAATTGGGGGAGAGGTAAATTTGTAAAGTAACAATAGGGACTAATAAGCAACATATTACGTAGTATTAATAAGCAAAAAGAACGTTCTGAGAAATTGATTTTCCATGGTAATCGGCCCCGAAACTTCCTGAACTCAGAAAAACGACATTAAGATATCCGGTACCTAATATATGTAACTTTCTAAACAAACAAACATTTTATTTAGGGACGAGATTCAATAGAGCAGGCTTCATGCATAAACATATAATAGTTGTGAACATTTGGTAGCGCCAATACATAGCTCGAGCGTGGAAAGCTGGGTGAAGGTAATGTACATAGTAATGTGCGCTGTCGGCATGGGACACCATAGGGAGAACGAGAACCCTGTCGTTCCCGTGGAATGGGTCCCGCTATTCGTTGTTTAGGTCAAACACAATCTTCACATGTCGCTTCAAAGAGCAGGATGGGTGACGCTTCCGAGAAAAGGAACTGATGGAACCTTCCTTTGCTATGCTTTGACATTATGTGTGTGATATGCACGTTTGGAATGCTTATTGCTGAGCATCCCATATTTCAACGTCAATTATATGAGATGCAAATCCATTCTGTTTGTTGAAGTTCAAGAAAAGACCTAAAAGGCACAGATCGCGATGACAGAAATGCGATGAATCTGCGGTTGAAATATGAAGCAGTACATGTTAATCGACCTGCTATTTGAAAAAAGAGAGCAACTACAAAAAACACTATCTAGTAGACAAACGGTCTGAAAGACACTATGCGCCGAGACGAAGGAACGACAGACGGAGACGAGAGAGCGCGGAGGAGAGCGAGACGAATTATCGTAACGGTGGGCGTGCGTGGTTGCTTGAGGTGTCTATAGTTGCAAGTTCTAAGCCCCAGGGATTCCTTCGACGTTTTTTCTCAATTATCACACTGTTTCAGCTCTGCAAAGGCGAACATAGCAAACATGTTCGTGATTGAGACTAATTCAGTGATTCAATCATGGTATTTGCCTTGAGCCAAACAGCCTCGAGAACATTTGAAAACGCAGTTCATAAACCAACGAATGAGTAAATTAATAAATAACTGCACAAAACAGAGGAGGAGTGGAGGAAAGCAGCCAATAAGTCTTTTCACGACCCTTGCTCTGCAGTATACTTTTTAAGACTACCGGAAGATATTTTGTGTTATGAATAGTGTTAATATGAGTCGTGTTGGAGCTACCAATCTGTTACACGGTCAGTACGTGTTACACTGCTAGTATTTGGAAGCAATTACGAAGCACTACTAAAGAAGATCTCACTTGGCCAGCAGTGGTCTTCAATGGCGATAAAATCTGACAGGCACTGACAGTTTCCAGTGGCGCAGAACATCCCCCGTTGGCAGTCGGTGTTGAACGTGCAAAGGTCACCCACGAGCGAGGAACCTTAAAAACGTCGATTTGAGTGAAATTATAAAGAAAAATGTTCACAAACCACCGGCTGCTCGTCGGCGTCTTCTGAAGCGACTAGCAGCTACGCATTTTCTCGTTGTTGGCACAAATTTGGTGTCATGAGGACAGCCGAACAACTTCAGTACTCCATTCTCACATAACAGGTAACCAGTCGTATTGAGACGCACTCTGCTG